GTGACACCAACTTGGTAAGTTGTTGCCTGGGTGTCGCCTAGTTGTCACGAAGTGCCACGTGTCTTAATTTCACTGGAGGGACAAATCTGCCCTCATCAGAATTAAATGAAGATGGATTAGAAATTTCAAAACACCTTGCTTCCATTTCCGTTCTATACGAGTGACGAACCTCCAACCCTAACCTTCAAAAGAGTCTCTTAAAGTAGTGATCGTKGTAGAGCAAGGAGTAAATATTTTCACCTAAGAAAGCAAACAAACAGTAGAGATCGTGGTAGAGCAAATCTCTTAAGACTTCCCGTTTGGAGCAAGAAAGACTCTTAGTGAGGAACCCTTTCTTGGACATTGAGAGCAAGAAGGCCCTACCTTGGACGTTGAGAACAAGAAGACCCTTCCTTTGATGTTGAGAGGGTTGAAAACAAGAACACTCGTTGAGAGAAGAACACGGTTGGGAGCTAGAAAGACTCTCACTAATGAATCTTATATATGAAATAGGACTGGGTGCTTAAGGGCATTTCGGTCAAAAAAATTGTTTAATAGGCTGACTCACCATTCAGGGGCAGTTTAGTCATGAAATATGCACTTAGGATGACGTGGATAAATTGGGTCATTCAAATTTAATGGTGTTGTAACGGATGAAGAGTTTTAGAAAATAAAATCTCACTGACATGGTGAATTTTGGATGTTTTGAAAAGTTTTGGTGAGTTTAAGAGAATTTAGATAAATTGATGGTGGGTTTTGGATAATTTCCAAAAAAAAATAATTAAAATAAAAAATGGCTAAAAAACTATAGAATGGATTGAACGGTTTGATTACTTGGGCCAATGGGTCATTGTCCAATTCAACAATTTTTAGTCGAAGACTGAGTTTAGGGTAAAATAGAATCAGTTGCCTGAWCRGTTTCCTGTCCAAATAGTTCGACCAAAACATTGATTTATTCTATTTGTACCTGACCCGTTGATAACCCTAATAAATTCTGATGTAATACAAATTCAATGGCTTTTGGATTTAGGTTATAAATAATCAAATATATTAATAGGAAATGGATGCTCTCTACATCCAAGAAATGGAATCTACTCATGCAAGTAGATCCCACGTGAGTAATTATTACACTAATTTAATAATTTAATTATTACAGTAATTTAATAAATATATACTTAATGATTGTAATTAATAATTATTGTTAATAACTAGATATTTACTTTAATTTTACTTTAAATTAAAATTAAAATATTGTTAATAAATTTAGTAACCCGATTTTAATAATTACTGATTATTACAGTAATTTAATAAATATATAATTAGTAATTATAATTAATAATTACCGTTTATAAATATTGTTAATAAATAGATATTTACTTTAATTTTACTTTAAATTAAAATTATAAATACTATTAATAAATTTAGTAACTATTGTTATATTAAAAATAATTAAAAATGTTAGTAAAAGTATTGTTATTGATTATTTAATAAAATATTATAATTACTGGCTATTACTATAAATACTGTTAATTTAATTTAATTTTGGTAATTATTAATTTAATGAATATTGTTAATAAATCTTATTCATAAACTTAATAATTACTGTTACATTAAAAATAACTAAATAATATTATTAAAACTATCATTAATGATTTTTTAATTAAATAGTATAATTACTTACTATTATTGATAAATGTTGTTAATAACGTTTTGACAACCGATGGTTCGACCGTCCGGTTCGAACAGATGGCCTGTTTTGACAACAAAAATTACAAGCAAAAAATTATGGAACCATTTTGACCACCGGTTTTCGGGTTGATAGTTCGATCATCCAGTTCAAACGGACAATCCATTCTGACAACAAAATTTATAGGCAAAAAATTGAGTTTGTGAGATCCATTAAGTAGTATCATATGTGTTATGTCATTCGAGCGTGTGACTCATACGACCCGAAAACGGAACCGTTCTGGTCATCGGTTTTTGGGTCGATGGTTTGACCATTTGGTTTGAACAGACGACCCGTTTTGACAACAAAAAATTACAAGCAAAAAAATTATGGAACCATTCTGGCCACCGGTTTTTGGGTTGACGGTTCGATCGTTTGGTTTGAATGAATGACCCATTTTGACAACAAAAACTACAAGCAAAAAATTGAGTGTATAAGGTCCATTGAGCAGTATCATACATGTTATGTCATTCAAGCATGTAACTCATACAACCCGAAAATGGAACCATTATGGCCACTGGTTTTCGGGTCGGTGGTTCGATCGTTCGATTTGAACAGATGGCCTGTTCTAACAACAAAAATTAGAAACAATAAGAAAACGGCCAAAACCATTGAACGGGTTAATGAGTTGATAGTTCGAGCACTCGGGTCAATGGGTCGTTGACCGATTCAACGGTTTTTGGCCAGGGACCGGTATTGGGGTAAAACAAAATTGGTTGCCTGGACGGTTCCTAATTAAAAAATAACAAAATGGACGACTCGTTCTGACAACAAAAATTATAGGCAAAAAATTGAGTGTGTGAGGTCCATTTAGCAGTACCATACGTGTTATGTTATTCGAGCATGTGACTGAAAGCGTAATTGTTCTGGCCACCGGTTTTTGAGTCGACGATTTGACTGTTTGGTTCAAATGGATGGCCCCGTTCAACCGCCAGGTCAATGGGTCATCGAACGATTTGACAATTTTTGGCTAGGGACCGAGATTAGAATAAAACGAAACCGGTTGCCTAGATGATTCCCAATTAAAAAAATAAAAAATGACAAAAAATTATTGAATTGTTCAATAGGTCAATGGTTCGATTGCTCAAATTAATAATTTGTTAACTGATTGAATGGTTTTTGGCCAGAGACCGGATCAATAGATCGACGGTTCCATTCCAACCCTTGCGAATCAGGGCCCCTCCGCTAGTTCTGATGTAATACAAATTCAATGGCTTTGGATTTAAGTTATAAAGAATCAAATCAAATTTGGATGCAGTTGAGTCTAATCCGAATCCAACCCAATTACGGCAGCCCTAATACTAGTCAATCAACTTCAACTTTAACTTAATTAAAAAAAAAACCTCAACTTTAACCGTTATAAAGCATGTAACCTTCTGCTCTTTTGCATAATATATTCGCTAAAAGACAAAACAATAAGCTATTCATCTCACATCCGATTCATCTGTTATTACGAAACAAAATGACACCAATAAAGAGAGGATTTATTTTGGGACCTTGGAAAGTGGGTGACAAACAGACAATTCCAGGACAACCTCACCCTAGCCTCCCCCCACCCACCAACCTCCCTCGAGGTGGCACTTTTTTTTTTTTTTTAATTTAATTTCTACAATTTTTTAATCATTTCATCTCGCCATCCCTCCGTGAGTGAGTGAGTTACACTTGTTTTGCGGTCCCACTTTAGAAAAGTGGAAGGAAATGTGTAGATCCGAAATCGATTCGGGTCAAAGCATTTTGGGATCATTTCGTGTAAAAACTAAGCCTTAACCCTAAATATTCTGATTAGGGTTGATCGATTGACCCATGCTAAATGGATCAATAGTTCAATTTAGAATTTCCCAAATCAAATCAAGCGGTCTTTAACCAAATCAACAAAATTTACGTTAAATATGGATTTATTCATCCGACTCAAACGATTTAGAATTTCCCAAATCAAATCAAGCGGTCTTTGACCAAATCAACAAAGTTTACGTTAAATATGGATTTATTCATCCGATTCAAACGATTGAATGGTTCAATCATTTTAGTCAAAACACCGATTTGAAATTTTAGTTACCCAGTGGTGACCCGTGACCTATCCCAACCCGAAATCCTTTTGGGGTTGTGTGATAAGGGACCCTAACCCGTTTCTTTGKATTGGATTGGGTTTGCGGGTTGGATCAACTTTTGATGTGTATGATGCATCATTTCCATCCCAAGGCGGGGGCCCACAAAGGCAACACTGTTTTTTGGGACGGAAATGAAATTTATTAATTATGGCACTTTTTTTAGGAAGCGGAAGGGTGGTAWGATATCCAGGTGGTGGGCCCAGAGAATCTCTTCTTTACGTGAGATGAGACAACGTAAAAAAAAGATTTCTGGGGATCCGGCATCGAGCTTACTACGGCCTCTGCTGTCTCTGATGATGAAAAGTTACAAATTATGATCCTCGCCTTCAAATTTCTAAAAAGACCAAAAAACCAAAGTCCTTGTTTGCTTTATTGGGATTGAGACTTGGAATTTGGAATTTGGGAACGCGGGAGGACGAAAAATGGAAAATCAGAAACACAGAAAAAACCGCAAAACAAACAGCATCTAGAAAAACTGAAAATAGTGGGCCGACATGGGCCGGGTCGAGCGATTCCAGAGAGAAAAACTAACTGCGACTCCGGACCCGAGGGTTTAATTTGGTTTTTGTCCTCTCTCTCTCTCTCTCTCCACACATTGACATGTTTTCAGGATTTGGAGTTTTGGACGGTGCTACGTGCTGACCTGGGACTCCTTTCTGTCTCTCTCTTACAGACATGCAGAAATATAAAATTGTCCCAAATATGACTTTCAAACTTTCAAACCCCCACCTCCCCATCTCTCTCTCTCTCTCTCTCTTCTGCAACTTCTGTCATTTTCCGTCAGCCCCTCTCGGATTCCGGACACGCTCAATCCACGAAAGGATATTTTCAAAATTCTGCAAATCATTTAATTCCGCTTCTCTCTACCGACGAGGAGGAGGAACCCGTTATTTGGTTTTCGGGAGCTTTGACGGATCCGAAAGGTCTTCTCTCGTGCTTCGTGTTGGTTTAGGAGATTTATAGAGTTTTGATCCTCGGGCAGGGGGAATATAGTAAAACAAGATGATCGGAGAAGTGGAAGAGGATTCGTTGTCGTTGATTACTCCATTATTTAAGCCTGTACATGGTTATTATTGGACGGAGATTCTTAGATAGATCTTTTCGTGATTACTCGCGTTTTTTAGGGTTATAACCCTCGCTCCTCGCTTCCGGATACGCTTTGATTAGGGTTTTCGGCTAAGTAATTTTCAGGTACTCTTCCTTTCCTTTCTTTTCTATTGCTTTGTTTCTACTTTCATGCCCCCCCTCCCACCCTTCACCTAAAGGATTTAACGTTTCGTTGCTTTCTTTCGTTTTTGATTTCTTGGTAGAATACCCTTTTCTTTGATAACGTTGTTTGTTCATAAGCGCAGACCTGAAATTAATACAGGCCATCTAGTACAAGAACCGGATAAAAACGTCATTTTCACAACAAAGAGATTAAAGGAATAATTGGGTAAACTCTTTTTCATGACTAATACTTTTTTCTTGACTAGTTCGAAGAGACTTTGTGCTTTATATATTTTCGATTTAATAAAAAAAGATTAGCACGGCTGGAATGTTCAAGCTATTATTGTGAGGAAATTACTTTCCAGTTTGTTAAAGAAAAACTCGAAACGTGAAACGGGATGGATACCAAAACAGCCTGATGGCCCATTTATTATTGTTGTTATTGTTGACAGAATATCTAATTTCCTGTTGGCCCATATATTATCAAGAATATTCATTCATTATCCGCTAATTCACAGATTTTTGTTATATAAAACGGTTATCCATGAGGGTAACAAGAAATTATGTAGTACCAAGTATATGGGTCTATGCGGAGTTGTGGTAGATGATAGGTATAATTACCATGAATTTTGGTTAATGGGATGGATGATAAGAAACACCCTATTTGCTTCAAAACTATCATAGTACTAGCAAGAAAACCCATGCAAATGCATGGAGCATAGGGTTGAATAGAAATTTGGATAGGTTTAGGTTGGCAAATTTGGGTTTTGACATCAGTTTGGTTCCAAGCCAAGGTTGGTCTAGTGTTGGCACTTAACCCCACCCAACCCATCTAATTTATACCCATGTTTAATTAGACATGGTTAAAAGAATTACAAAGATATTATCTATCAAAAAAAAAAAAAGAGTTACAAAGATATTTAATAGGAAATGAGGGTTTTAATGAAGGAGAGGTGGGCCTTGGCGCAACAGTTGGGTTGCTCCATTGGGACTTGGGTAGGGTTCAAATCTTGGAAATGGACTCTCTGTATGTGCAGGGGGTAAGGCTGCATACTCTGTCCCTCCCCAGCCAAACCCTGCATTTGCGGGAGCCTCGTGCACTGGGCTGCCCTTTAGGAGAGATGTTACAGCATTGACCATTGGGGAGAGAGAGAGAGGGAGGGAGTTAAGAATGGTTTTATTATTTCAAAAAATATATTTTAATAGCGAAAATTAAGGCATAAGAGGGTTTTTAATATTTCACATGTGTGAAGGAGAGAAGGGGAGATTTCGTGTGAGGCCTGTATACAAACCCTAATAACTTAAGTTTTACATTAGGCATCTTTATTAAATTTTCCTAATTTTACTCAACCATAACTCCACCCAAAATGTCAATAACATAAGTTTCAAAATGTCTCCCATGAACTTAACTAACCAAAGAACCTATTCTTCTTCAAAAACATCTATTTTTAAGATGTCAAAAACATCTTCAATTATAGCACAACTTGCATCAAATGATTTATTTATCTTATTTTTCCCCATTGCCTAAACAATATGAGGTGAATCAATATTCTTCTTCTACAAAATTCTAGGGAGATCATTGCTCTTTTCGATGGGTTATCTGTTGTCAGGTTTTTCTCCTTTATTTATTAATTTAACATAGATGAGTTTTATGGCTTCCTTTTTTTATGAATAATAAAGCATTTCATTAAAAATTTTTAAGAATGGTTTACAATTGATACAACATTTAGTTTTCCCAAGAGGCGTGAGATGCAGCTTCAGAAATCAAAATAAATTATAGTATAGCCCAGAAAAGTTGACTCCTATTCACCCCTTTCTTAGCTAGTATGTCTGCCAGTCCATTTTCCGATCTTCTCTCCCACTGAATTCTGATTGTTACATTAGAAGTTAGCCATTTGAATCTTCTCATCTTCCCCTGAAAGGCCAAGCCACTGCCTCCGGTTCTTTCAGCCACCCAATTACCACTTTGGAGTCTCCTTCTATGACCAGATTTCTGAGGTTCAACTCTTTTCCAATTTGATCCCTCTGTAAAACAGCTTGGACCTCTGCATGAACCGTGTCCCCCATGGTTTCTTTTGATTCAATTGTTTTTACCTTGGTCAATTCAAATTTAAAATTGTTTCTTTTTAAACTTGGCCATTGATCTCATCATGTCTATCCACTTAATTTAAGTACTTTGCATAATACAAATTATATAAAAAGGAATATGTTTGAAGCTCAATAATTTAGAAAGAAGAAAAAAGAAAATTATTTTTCTATTATTTTATATGCAAATAATTATAAATATATTAGTACTAAACTTTGGTGAATTGTTATTACTTCATTTTTTCCATTAAAAATTCCATTTCAAACAGCTGCCCAAGCATCACACGGGTCACTACTAGCATATAGATATGTAGATGACATTCTTTGTTGAGGATTGTTTTGGTCTTTGTATCTCTCACTTATGTGTGAAGTTGTGAACTGGTGCTTGAGTTTAAGGACAAAATTGAGTTTCTCTAGACTATGTAAATATTTCAAATGGAGAGATCCTTCCAGTTCATGAGGTGGTTGAAAATTGATATTCCTAATAATAATGACTACACGTGTATGTGGGCTTTGCATAGTTGCATTGGGAAGTGAGGAAGCAGCTGCCTGCTGAGGAAAGGTTTATCTTGACTCTAGGAAGGCTAAATTAAGGAATCATATCCTTCTAATATAACAATTATCATTATATTCTTTTGAAGATAAAAGAAAACAAAAAAAAGAAGATACAAGGAAGGTGATAAGCAATCACCCGAAAAGAAAGGCCAACCCAAAGAAAAAACCAATGAGACAAAACAAACCCAAATCAGCCAACAAACTAAAAGGACCCAACTAACGAATGCCCCTTACCCATAACAATACAATACAATATAAAGACGAAGTAAACTAGAATACCAAAACAGCCTGATGCCCAACAAATACCAAGCAAGACACTCAAACCCCAAATTGCCACTTCTAGCATTTTTCTAGTTTTTTTAGTACAGTTTTGTTGTCGTTTTTTGACTAATCCTTTGGTTTTCTGACGAGCTTGTTAGGTCCCAATCCGAATAGACCACCTTTTAACCTCATGAAAACCTTAGAGACTGGGATCTAAGGTTTATGTTTTTTTATTGAAATAATGTTGACAACAAAGCCATTAACCCTTTTTATGTTTTTTATTGCAAAAGAAAATTCATTTAAATAAAAAGTAGAATACACGATATTTAGCATTATGTGTTCATTTTTTTATGTTAATTGGTATCAGGTTATCATTTCATGGAATTATATAAATTTACATAATTTGTCATTTGCATTTTGCAGCAATCTCACTTGATATTTGAGATATGATCTTTTTTCCTTTTTTCCTTATCTCTTACATCCCAACAACATCCAGTGGCAGTGAATCTCAACTTGTAGTTCCCATAAATTTTCTTTTTCAGATTACATTTCACATTATAATTGGTGTTTCATCACTCAACTCAACTAAGCCTCATTTTATCATGACATTATCTATTGGGTCTAATACTAGGTTCTTATGAATATTAGTATTTTTTATCATATCCTTCCTGGTGCCATGCTAATTGCTGTAAATCTCCTTTTTAGCTTTATTTGTCCCCTTCTATTTTTTTTTCTGCTGCCTTTGGTAGATTCGACAACTAATAATTCCTCTTCTATTGGGAGCAGGAACCAAAGATCAGTTGCCATTTGATGCTTTTATTTTGCTTGTTGGCATTTTTATGACACTAGGTTCTAGAGTAAGACTTATGGTTGAGACTCCTACCTGAAAATGAAAATAGAAAACAAAAAGACGGTTTGGCATGTTTAGGTCATCAACAAGATACAAAAGTTGTGTATATGAAGGCTTTAAAAGAAAGAAAACATCCTTAAAGTGGAAAGGGTGTCTTTTGGTGTCAGATAAGACTGTCAGTTGGTTAAAAACAAATTAGACTTTATTCCCTATCCGATGAGTTAGATATGGATATAAAGATGTAGAAATGCGTATTAGAGGATTGAGCTCACCTGTGTGCSTAAGTGCACTCAAGGTGCTTATTCTAAAACAATGGCCCCATCCTCTTCATGTTCTGGCAAGTTGTGTATCAAATAGATGGTTAATGTCTTCTCTTCCTATACCATTTTGCAATGACCATTGAGTCTTTTTTAGGGAGTCTATGCAGAATTTTTTATATAAGTAGAGGTAAAACACCACTCGCTTTGTTGAGAAAGTAACCTAGGTTGCTAGGGATTGGTAAGTTGTGCCAAATAGATAATTAATGTCTTCACTATTATTTAACAATGATCATTAGTTTGGCTATGGGGGAGTCTATTCAGAAGTTCTAGTATAAGTAGAGGTGGAACACCACTTTCTTTGATCAGAAAAATATTGTTAATTTGTTAATTCTATTTGCAACCAGTCCCATGGTTACAGGCATTGATATTGCTTTGAGGGAGTTGATGGAGTAGAGGTGGATCACCAATTGCCTTGATGAGGAAGGTAGTAGGCAGTACAATTGTTGAAATAGGCATTTCTAGTGGGTTTTAGGTGGAAAGAGAGGTCATGAGGCATTTATCAGAGAGCAAATTCTCTAATCGGAGCTTGTTTTGCCAATCTGTTCTAGTTAAAATCATATCCACTGTTAAACTATTAGTGCTTAAATAATTTCTTACTGCTATCTATGCCCTTTTTGGTCTACCCCTAGCTCTTCTAGCCCCTTCCACCTGTAACAAATCACTTCTTCTAAGTGGAGCTGTTGGTGGTCTTCTATGCATGTGATCAAACCATCTTAATCTACTCTTTCTCATTTTATCACTTATTGGAACTCTCCTAGGTTCCTACGGATGGCTTCATTCCTGGTCCTACTACCTTTTCTAGTTTTCCACTCATCCATCTTAGCAATTTGCATTTCTGCCACACTCATTTCTAAAGATGTTGTTTCTTGATTGTCCAACACTCTGCTGTATACAACATAGCTGGCCTAAAGATGTTGTTTTATAGAATTTTCCTTTTAATCTATGTGGTTTTCTCCTATCACACAAATGTCCAGCTACACCCCTCTATTTTGGTATGTGACTGTTTCTTTTTTTTTTTATGACTAATAGAAACATTTTGGTATTAGACTATTCTTTGTAAAGGATTCAAAAACCTTCTATCTGTAGTTTGTTATACTTGAATCATCAACCATATGCAAGGAGCAATCAATCATCTAACTTTCTATAATTATAGGTCGTGTACTATCTATTCTATTTAAGAGTTGTCTGGTTGCCTACTCGTATTTTCTGTAGGATCTTTTCCTTGTCAAAATGTCTAGTTTTATTTAAGACCCTATCAGCTAGTCCATGCTAGGGTCTTAATTCTTAATCCTTAAACATTTCTTGTGCCAACAACCAATATTGAATAACACCCAACACTTTGCTGATCAACTCCTGTGTATATATTCCCTTGTCATGGAAAAAGGCAAATTTCTTAAACTACCCCTACTATTTAGCTAATTGACAAACTGTACCCTTACTATTTAACCACCCTTATTGTTTCTGACAATTGCCATTGCCGTTAAACATTGACAGAAAAAAGTGAAAAGTCAAATTTATCCTTCATAATTTCTCATATTTTCAAAATATAATTAAATATCAAATTTATCCTTCAATCCCGGGTGTTGATCCTCGTTGGTAATTTGAAGATTGATAAACGAGCAATGACCATAAAGACCTCAAGCCACTGAGGAGTCGATCAAGTACAAATAACTCTGCATTTTCTTTTCAGATCAGAACTCTACATTTTTATCAGAAGCTCTCTATTCAGCATGGTCACTGTGGATGACTCCTTGATCTTATCACCCAAGTTATCAATAGAGAGAGAGAGAGAGAAGGTAGTGGCCCATTTGGTGGAATCTACTATTCACCAACACTATTCATCGTCCTCAACCTCCCGAAGCACCGAACACGACGGTGGAAGAAAGACCCCCCTTCCAGCCACATTTCTTTCTCTTCCTTTTTCCTCCTCTCTTTCCTTCTTGATCTCTTTCCCCCTCCTCCAACGATTTTCTACTATTTTTTTTTCCATTCTTCATCATCCCTTTTGTCGTTGGATGTTCACTTTTCTTCTCTCACCCACCCTTCAGAATCGTTGGCTTCGATCGTAGGTCACTCCTGTTACCTTCCCAACTCGGTCTAAAGAGATTCTTTTACTATTTTGTCTCTCACCGTTTTGTCGACACCATAGAAAGCACTCACTCGATCTGTATTCGGTGCTCATAAGACCAAGGACCTCAGCTACACTCCATTTTTTGAAAACCCAACCACTGTAAAACACACATTCTCCGTCTACTACTAAATCGGCCTTAGAAAAATCATTACTGGTGGCAAATGCGTCAAAATCCGAGGTGATCTCCATGGTTCTAGGTGAGGAGATACGGTGAACCTAAAACACCTAATGATTTTACATCTGCAAACCAATATAAGAGAAGGGGGAGGGAATGAGAAAATGAGAGAAGGGAGAGGCTTCTTGTCACTGGTTGCCGGTGGTTGGAGAGGGATAGAACAAACAAGGGTAACTCAGGCGGCCGTCATTGAATCTGGATCTACTCCATGGATGACAAACACAGATGTGCTTTGATCCACTTCAGCAAATGGGACTCCCAGCATCAACTTCTATCTGAATGGGGAAGCTACTTTGGATTTTGGTCGCTGCAAGGGTCTTCAATTTTTATTGCCGCCAAGGAGCTCTATTCGGCTCCCGCCTTTCTATCTTCCTCTTATTTCCATCCTTCAGGTCATGCATGGCGACCTTAGCACGAGAGTGAGCGGCAGTGACAATGGCACGCATGATCCTCCCACCAATCTGGCGCTGATTCTTACCTGGCAGCTTACAAAAGGACAAAGGGTATATTGGGTTTTCAAAAAAATTATTCGTCACGTGGTATCACGTGTGTACGGATTTTGATGAAACATTAATGGATGCCAATAGCAAGGGTAGAGCTAGTTAATTGTCAGAAACAGTAGGAGTGGTTTAAGACAATAGTTAAACAGTAAGGGTACAGTTTGTCAATTAACTAAACAGTAGGGGTAGTTTAAGAAATTTGCTCCATGGAAAATCTATAGATTTATCTCATTCCATATGCACCATGATACAGCTGCTGGTATCAACAGAGATCTCTATGGGAGTGCTATATACATGATTTTTTCAGCAGAGGATCTAAACTTATTGTTTGCATCATTCTCCGCATTTATTATCATCTGCATTCTCAGAAGTTATGGAACAATGAGTAAAGCCCCCCCTCCCTCTCCCCCCATTTGATTCTCAATCTCATTTTTGGACTGGATTTCCTTGCAGCCAAACAACCCTTTGTTGCTTATTGATGGATTCACCCAGGTGGCAGATTAGCTTTTAGATGTTTGAAAACATTTGATATGTAACCAATAAAAAATGCATCCTTTTTTTCATTGTATTTCACCTAATATCAGCCTATGTTTATAATTTTCCTGAACTACATCAACAGGTGGACATTGGAGGACAACAAAAGCATATAAAGCAATGGAGAAGAGCAATATGAGCACAAAAGATCGCCAAAATACTACAGGTTCTCCAAGAGCAGAGGTGGGAGAGATAGATACCAGGGCACCATTTCAGTCTGTCAAAGATGCTGTTAATTTGTTCGGTGTAGGAGCTTTCTCAGGGGAGAAACCTATCATTAAAAAGTCAAAACCTCCTATAGAGGTATTTCTGATATTAATTGTATTTGAAAATCTAGATGAGGATCATTACCATTTTAACATTAGCTGTTCCATACGTCCATTGTCTGTTCTGCTGTTATATCACATTTATCACCTTGAATTTGAGGAATTTATTAATAATACTTCATGTAGTTCTGAAACCGTTCTCCATTATAAAGGAAAAAACGGGTTATTGATCTAGGGTATGCTTGAGGGGCCATTACTTGGTGTAATGGTAAAATCTTGGGATGGCAAGCGTGAGAATGCAGGTTAAAGCCTGAGAGTGGCCTCTTTGTGCAAAAAAATGCCAAAGGCTAGAACTGAATCCAGTCTACTCCTCCCAAGACCACTGATAGCTGGAACCAACATTAGGTAATGGCCTTCTTTTAATCTAGGGTATGCTTGTCTTCAAAAACTGATATGTATCATATGATACTCACTGACATGTAATATTTGAAATTTTGAACCTTGGCTATGATAATCAATAGTCAATTGATTTCTCATAAATCTGATAACAATTTATTTTTTCCAAATTTAGTCTCTTAATATTGATAAAAATATAGTTTTTAAGTTGGCCAGATCACCTTTGTACCATGTTACATAGTTTTCCTAATGTGCCAATGACTTAAGTATGAGATAACCCTATTAGCTCAATATATCATCTCAGAGCCAGCTGATTGTGCATCGGAATGGTACTTCTTTGTGCTTGGTGCAGCCAGGCTGCAATATTCTGTGATTTCTGTGCCAGCTAAATTAATCGGTCCTCTAAATTTTTTTCTCCCAATTTCTTTTTTGTTGTGCTTCAGAGGGTGTTCGCAAAGGAGACCCAGCTTCATTTGGCCAAAAAAGCACTAAACAAGCTCAAAGAACAGTTGAGAAATGCTGAAACCACCAAGGTCCAAGCACATGCTGAGCTTGAAAAGGCCAAAAAAACTGTTGAGGATCTGACAAACAAGCTCAAAACTGTAAACGAATCCAAGGAGTGTGCAATTAAAGCAACAGAAGGAGCTAGAAATCAGGTTAAGCAACTAGAAGAGGAAAATTCTACAGGCCTTGCAGGAACTGGTGGTGCTTGGAAACAGGACTTTGAAAGGACAAGAGAACAGTATACTGCTGCTATGACTGAGCTTGATGCTGCAAAACAGGAACTCAGTAAAATCCGCCAAGATTTTGAGGCATCCATGGAAGCAAAAGTTGCTGCCATCCAGCAAGCAGTAGAGGCTGAAGGTGCAGCGAATACTTGCAAAGAGAGGGCTAGTGAACTCTCAAAGGAGATAGTGGCAGCACAAGAATCACTTATCCATGTAAAGCTTGCTTCTTTGCAAGCCCAGGAGGAGCAGGCAAATATTATTGCAGAAAAAGATGCTCAACGGCAGTCTTACAAAGCTGCTCTGGAAGAAGCAGAGAAGAAGCTTCAATCCATAAAAAAGGAGTTCGACCCCGAACTTACCAGGAACCTTGAGGCAAAGCTAGCTGAAACAGCTGCTGAGATAGGGTCTCTGCAAAAGGAGATTGAAGATGTCCGGGCTTCTGATTTGGATTCAGTGAAAACTGTGACACTAGATCTTGATGATGCCAAAGAGGCACTGCAAAAAGTGGCAGAAGAAGAGAGCTCCCTCCGGAGCTTGGTGGACTCCCTTAAGCTGGAGCTAGAGAGCATTAAGAAAGAGCATTTAGAATTAAAGGAGAAAGAAACTGAAACTGAATCTGTTGCTGGGAATCTTCATGTCAAGCTCAGGAAAAGCAAGGCTGAGCTTGAGGCAGCCCTTGCTGAAGAATCTAAAGCAAAACGTGCTTCTGATGAACTGATCTCAACACTGCTGCAGCTAACATCAGAATCTGAAAATGCAAAGACTGAAGCAGAAGCCATGATGAAAAAGGCAGAAGAGCTGAGGGAGGAAGCTCAAGCTACCCAGATTGCTCTAGAAGAAGCAGAAGAGAAGCTACAGGTTGCATTGAAGGAGGCTGAAGAAGCAAAAGCGGCAGAGGCAAAAGCCCTTGATCAGATTAAGGATTTGTCTGAAAGAACAAATGCAGCTCGTGCATCAACATCTGAATCTGGTGCCAATATCACAATATCAAAGGAGGAGTTTGAATCTTTGAGCCGGAAAGTTGAGGAGTCTGATAAGTTGGCCGAAATGAAAGTAGCTGCTGCAATGGCTCAGGTGGAAGCCGTGAAGGCAAGTGAAAATGAAGCTCTCAAGAGGTTGGAGGCAAACGAGAAGGAGATTGAGGAGATAAAAGCTGCAACGGAGGAGGCTTTGAAGAGGGCAGAATTGGCAGAGGCAGCAAAGAGGGCAATAGAAGGAGAGCTAAAGAGGTGGCGTGAGAGAGAGCAAAAGAGGGCAACTGAAGCTGCAAGCCGGATTCTGGCAGAGACACAGATGCCTGTGGAAACATCTCTGCACAATGCCCACCACCACCACCACCACATTCAGAAGCATAACCCATCAGAGAACGTTTCTTCAATCCGTAAGATGGACAAGGATAAAATACCTGTGGCAATGAAGGCATTGATACCAAATTTGAGCGGCGTCTTCCATCATCATAAGAAGAAGAGCCAACTTGAGGGTGGGTCTCCCTCGTATCTCCCTGGTGAGAAACCTGTGTGAATTTTGTTTAGCCATGAATATGATTGTCTGTGCACGTGTGAATGGGGTCATGAAGGAAAAAAAAAAAAAAAAAAAACATCCATAATATGCCTTGCTTTTTGTATATTGGGAATGTAGATCACTCTGTTTTTTTCCTTCCTTTTGTCTATCTGTCTCTGTCATGAGAGGGAGAAAAAAATAAGAGAACGAGACTGAATTTATTGCTCATAAATCTTCTTAAGCCTATCACATTTTGTAATCCAGCGGCTTCATCACAATTTACAAAACAGAAAAGCCAAAAAAGGGGTTTAGGGGGAAAGTTATTAATGGTGCATGTATAAACTACGGTGATGTTTGGCATCCATGCGGATTCTTTCCTTACTGATTTTTCAGAATTTGGTGATTTTTTTTTTTTTAAACAAGAATTGATTATTTCTGTATTGGAGTTATTATTTGACGCATCATTGGATGCCATATCATCTTCAAAAAATCAGAATAAGTTAAAAATCGGAGAATCACCGAAAATGGTTATTCCTGAAAAAAGGTTTATTTCAACAATCGATTTTTGGTCAAAATTTTTTTTTTTTCAAAATCAGCCAATCAAACAGATTTCACTGCCGATTTCTCCAAGGCTGATGATGTGGCTTCGATGTTGCAATGATTTTCAGTAAATCAGCATCAAGCCGAAAATGGAATATCTTTGTTAACAACAAACCATAGCAGAGAAGGGACAAAAGCATAACACCTTGCATTTGGCGAATCCGGATCACCTGCCAACAAAACACGTTCTAACCCTCTACTAACATAATCTCACACTGCACAGCTTATACATGGTGATGGTAGATCCCAATTCGCATTTGACATCCTGAAACTGTGAAGAAGTTGGATGTACATCTACTTGCATTAATAATTTTGGGAGTTCGAACCAAGCGTTTCAAGTTGTGCGTCTGTTTCTCCAAGTTCGCTGCAGGGTTCAGAAGGAACAATGCTCAACAGAACCCAAAAACAAAGACAGTAACATGGCTGTAACGGTGATTATCGTAGAACTAACTTTCCAAGGACCAAAACCCAACCTGGTAAGAGGAGATTGCGAGTATCCAAATTGTTTTCCTTCCAAGAAACGTGTTTACCAGTCCAGTGAAGGATTATAGATCAGATGTAATTACCACCATTTTTTGTTCTCGACTTCTGGACGGTTACAGAGCATAACCCATGAACTGAATTGAACTCCTCTGTCTGCAACTCCTGGAACTTAGTTCCAAGGGGCTGGATATAAGGCCTAAGGTTCTTCTGATCTTGAGAACTGGATCATCAACCCAGAAACTGGTTTTCTGATTGAGCTCAATTAGCTTGATATGCTTCGCTACTTCTCCCAATATCATGCATTCTAACAGTACTCTATCCATTTCATTCCGAGTTTTGTCTGTCTTAACCTTTTAAATCAACTATTAACCACAGCATAGTAATATATGGACTGTCTTCATCAAGGGATCATCAACCCAGAAACTGCTAATGCTGTATGCATGGCCATGGCCGTTAATTAACTCACGGGTTTCCATCAGAAGTAAGAAAGCACGGTATTACAACTCACAGTCAAACACAGAAACTGTTCTGTCTTCTGTGTTTAACAACTTTCATCTAATGAATGATCATCATCATCAGAGAAATTTTGCAGAGAAGCTAGACATGGATAACAGAACATCACCACGTTGGATGTTTGGTTCCCAGAAAAGCTTTATTTTACAATTTACCCACCACTTAACGCTGTTGACTGTTGTTGTTCGTCTGTGTGATATGTACGACCGATGTATACCAGTCATCGTCTATAGAATTAATTTGTACCATTTAGAATATAAAACCAGATAGCTCAAGCGCTCCGGGCTCAGATTCAGATATCAAGTTCTTTCCTAAGCTTTTCTATCTATTTAGATTGAGCAGAAATTACTGATGGAGATGAATAAGAAATCAATATATATACTTCTAAATATACCAACATTAGGATTTACATATACAAGACACGACTCATGAAAAACAGATTACCTTGATTCAAATCAAGACATCCAGCCGAGGAGGTTCTTCAGAAGGTCAGGCCCAAAGGGTCTTCAACGACCCATAAAGAAATTTAAATGAATCTCAGCTAAAATCCATATAATCTCAAAAACAACATCAGCAAGGAATGGCAATAAAAACGCAAGATCATATAAACTTCAAACGATCACGGAATGGAAGGAAAACCAGGCAATCGCAGTGAAACGGAGAAATGATGACTTGAAGAAGAAGAAGAAGAAGAAGAAACTTCAGTCAGAAGTAGTAAGAGAGAACAGATTGGAAACGTAGGTTATAAGGTGAAGAAGATGTAGGCTCCACTCCAAGGCTCAAGAGTCTGCAAGTTCGCAGTCTGCAGGAATCATGGTTGGACACATGGTGGCTGAAATGGAATTGGACCCAAGATTGTTTGCATCCGTTGGAAGCAAGAACCACCACCCACCCCATCACCAGGCCCCTCACTCCCAACAAGGCATCAACCCGATTGCTGGCCAACTTATACCACTTGCATCATTGCCTGTGCCTGATACAGTGGCTGATTCAAATCCTGTCCATTCTCTCAAGCTTCATTTCGGCTTTTCTCTGATGAGACTAGGAGTAGTTATTGAATTGAAAATACAATTTTGTTGCAACAAAAACACAAAGAAACATGTTAAGGTCTGTTTGGTTTGCAGTCAGAATAGGAACTGGATTTGAAGATTTCTCGAAATCAGAATCAGAATCAGAAGGGTCTATTCCATAGTTGAAATCAGTTGGAATGGGAATGCCATTCCACCAAAAATGGGAAAAGGATTCTGATTCAGCCCAACCAACCAGTTGGAATGGAATGGCCCATTTTGATTCCGATTMCAGAACCTTATTCCTGTGAACCAAATGGGCCTTTAGTCATCTGTAAAAAAGTGAAGCTACTAGATATGTTTTCAATTTATTTTGTTAAAGGAGGCGTTCTACAACATGAATGTTGTTTAATTGTGTTTCCTGTGTTGGAATGCAAGAATAAGTTGGTTTTGTTTCAAAAACACAATACATGCATGTTTCTGAAACCATAAAAATGATGATTTTTAAAATAAAAACAATTTTTGTGATATAGAAACTATATAATTTATGAAACATGATAGTAAATAACGAGATGAAAGCATGTTCCTTAAACTAGAAACTCAAGAACATGATTTTTATTTTAATTTTGAAAATAAAAACACATGTATAATCAATTAACCAAGAACATGGCTTTTTTTTTTTTTTTTCACATCAGTTAGTTTTATTTTGATTTTGAAACTTGCAACAAGAAAAACAATTCACATTGGAAAACACCGGATACCCCCTGATTCTAACAAAGCAGATCGAATCAGAAAAGTCGACCCATTTAGTTGGCGAATCAAAATTCGAATATAACCCAACTCGATCCACTAGTTATAAATGTAGATATATATATTGTTTATATAATTATTATATTATATATTATAATACATTATTTATATTTTACCAACAAGTTTTTTTTATTACAATTGAAATTGAATCGGATATTCAATAAGATATTTGAATTCAAATCCGATCAGTCGGATTTCTTATTGAATTGGATCAGGTATACCCTAAATCCGATCCGTTTGCAACCCTACGTGTCAATGTTGAAAGTGCTGGGAACAGCTACAGAAAAAATTGTACAAACAGCGCTAGGTAACTAATTACAAATGAACACACCAGTGTTCTGTACACATGGAGGCCCTACCACATGTGAGTCCCATGCATATGCATATGGAACTCCGGTGTGTATACTCATGATTGGTCATATATTTACACCAAATCCAAACTCTGTTTGAGAATACCCCTAATAGGATGGTGTTTGGTAATGTGGGCGTTTTTCAGGCCCGATTTCACAACAACAAAAATAAAAGGAAAAGAAAAAAAAAGAAAAGAAAAACACGTACGCCCAAGCTGGTGCATGTTAATCAGTTTGGTAGTGTTTTGTTTCTGCTAGATAGGTAGTAAAGCAACGTTTTTTCACCTTCTTTCTGTTTGGAAAGGTGATTTTCATCATCACTTTTCTTGTATTTGCAATCTATTTGGTACAAATCAGTACTACATCAGAGTTCCGTTAGKAGCAACGACTCACCGATGCATCAAACGTTAAATATGATGTTTCATGCATTAAGAAGATTGTGATTTACAAGGCATGGGCGTTTTTTATCGTTTTTTCAAAAAACACCTGAACCTAACAGCATGAAGGGTGACAAAAAATGAAAACGCCGAACTGGTTCTAGTGTAGTACCATTTTTTTGATAAACGACATTGATACCAAACATCCCCTAGGCCTGTGTTGCTGGTATATGTTGGAAAATGGGGTCACTGTAACTTTGGAGGAGAAGCTCTGAGACGTGTCTGAAGACATTGTCTTTATAACGTTATTTGCCCCCATTTAGTTTCACTGAGTTTGTTGTTGGGTTACAAGCAAATCCGTTCCCAAGATACAACAGAGCCTTGGGCAAGAATCTGCAACCAACAAAATTGAAGAATCTCCGGAGAAACCTTCCGTGAGACTGTAGCAGACCGGACTGAGAAAGAGAGAGAGTGAATTTTGAAAATGTGTGTTTTGAAGTCTGATTCATGCTCCTTTAATAGTTTATGAAGAGGTATGAAGAAAAGATAGGTGCTGGTTTAGAGAAGGCACCTTGAACAGTCACAATTTCATGAAGGGATGAGAGATCTATCGTATGGATGCCCAAATCTTGCGGAATAAAGGGGCGAATTTCAAAAATTTTCTCTCCCTTCAATTGGGAATCATGTTCCCTATTTAGAAAATCATATTTTCAATGATCAATCTTGAACCATAAACTGAACCAGATCTAAACTAAAAAGAGTAGGAGAGGGTTATACTTGATACGGAGAAACAATATCTCCCAACGAAGGTGTTCACGCCCAAGGAAGGATCTAAAGACTGCTCCCACTGAAGATGGCGCAGTGCAGGATGGAGCAGAATCAGTAGTATTCTTCTCCAAGAATTCTGTCATTTGCAAGAAACAACAGAATGGCACGTGAGCACAGCTTCTTGTCAATTCATTCTCAAAGAACTGATGTCAAGATCGAATCTTGACTTCTCCCACAACTGGAGATCGAACTGGATGTCTGGCGGCTGCAGGAAGGAGGCGACAAGAAAGATCTTTGCAGGGATTGCAGAAATCTTTCTTCTGTGATTTCAGCTCTGAAGAGGATCTGATT